CCTGTACTTAGCAGCCTTCAGCTGTGGGTGCATACCTCCAAACTCAGGATGAGCCTTAGGCAGTAGATACATACCTCCGAACTCAGTGTGAGTTAGATTCTATTGTGTCAAAATTCCTGAAAGAAAGAATTTTGAAAGGTGAAAGATTTGTCCTGGCTCACAGTCCCTAGTTTCAGCCAGCGATCTTCAGGTTCCAGTGTTTGGGGTCTGTTGTGCAGTAGAGCATTCTTACAGAGCAGGCATGGTGCATCAGATCTTCTCACCTCCTGGCAGGCATAGAAGTAGAGACAGGATGAAAGAGGGACTAGAAATAGGGTATACCCTTCCAGGGAGTACCCCAGATGGCTGTCCTCCACCAAGGCTCCTCTATACTGATCACAGTAATGCCATTAAATTTTATGTCAATCACCATATTAATCCACCAATGGGAAGCATTTTGTACCCTAACTGTAACAAAATCCACCAACAAAAGCTCACTCTTGAATCTCTGGTGAGACTGGAAAGGGGTACAGAGTACTTAGGTCTATAAACCCACTACTGTTTCCCTGTATGCGCAAGAAATTAGGACATGGAAATTGGTAAAGGAGAATCAATTTATTTACAATTTGGCCAAAACAGAAAAGAGAAGGATACCTAAATGCCTGAGGCCATCTTATAGTTTAGAAAGCCAGGAAACAAAGGCCAGATGTGTGTAAAGTGTAGCTGTGAGACGGGTGATCCCAGGTCGCCTCCCTTGCCTCTGTTGTGATTCACAATGTCTTGTTCAAGCTGGAGATGGAAGGAGAATCTTAAAGATCCCCTGACTTACTTGTTGATAAAAGAAAAGAATAGGAAAGAGGGTGTGAGACCCTGTCCATCCCTGGCCTGGCAGAGCTCCTTGTCCTCAGGACCATTTGTACGGAGTGAGAGCCCTTTGTCTGAAGGTTGCCTTCAGACTTGACTACTGTGTATTTTGTAGACATTCTGATTTTGCAAGTTAAAGGGTGATGGTTGACAGCCAGGGGTCAGTAGACAGGTCTCAATCTTTTAGAATATGCCCCCCATCAGCGTTTTGCATAAATGCTTCATACACATGGCAGAAGATCCATTAAAGCCATGTCAGAAATGACAGATTGGGAAATCTGTTCTAATCCCAAACAACTTCACTTAACTTTTTTTTTTTCTGAAACTCAAACAGCAACTTTTAAAAGCTAACATTTTAACATGACAACCCAAAGATAAAGCAATTTGTCACATACTAAAGACTGACACAAAGAAAATCCTGTTTGCTTCTTTTCATTCTATAATGAAAATGTTGTGGTTCTATAAGTACGAAAAGTTGAATGTCCGTAGTAAAAACACAATTCATAACACAATCCCCTCACACCTGAGTTATGATTAGACAGTTCCTGGTGCTGTGAGGCAGAACATGAAGAGGGTAGCGGTGCAGAATGTGTGTGCTATGGGTTGTAGCAGCAAGGTGGCTTGGTGGAGGATGCTCAATACTGCTCACGTACGTGCTCATGACGCAGGAGTGCTCAGGACACAGCACAAGTGTATGCTAACAGAATCACCTCAGCCTCGGCTCCCATCTGACTTTTAATATTTGTCCATTCCACAACAGAACCTTTTCCTGTTCCTAATTTTTTAATAGCTCCTACATTTAGTTACAGGGCTGTGACCCACAGTTTAAAACTCAGATCTATACCAGTGACAAGGGGGTGCCAGGCCATATAAACCTAGTTTTTACCCAGAATGATTATACTTATACATGTTGGCACTTGAGGCTTCAAATAAAATGGTGCTGAAAATTACTTGTACTGTGAAGTCAGTTCTAGGAAATATGGCATAGCCCTACAGCTGCTCCTGTATCCTTGGTGACTCTGGGCCTCCATTTCCTCATCTGTAGACATTAGTGTGGGGCTGTGGGAGATTATGCATTTATGCCAAGCCCACTTCTAGTTAACAAAGCCCCAAGAGAGGTTAAGTGGCTTCTTAGGGCCACACACATTAATAACAGAGCCATCTACCCCTCATTGGCAACCTCTCTCTCTTGTATCTATGCTCTAAAAGAAAAAAAAAATCTGAAAAGTAGAAATGAGCCATTTGAGATGGTAAATGTACCAGTGGGCTCATAAGAGCATGTAAAATAAAGCTGTACTGTCTCAAAGTCTGCCTCATCTGGTGCTGGTGTGCTAGCTACAGGGCACACCGATGGACTATCCGTATGATTTTACGTCTGTTCCACAAGGTTTTACAAGTATCTGTTCTGGTGAGTTGTTTGCATGCCCATTTCTCTTTCGCAAAGCTGTTTTAAGTCATTTTCTTCCTGATAGATCTCCACATAATCAGCGATGCCATTTTACATCACTATTTATCATTCATTTCACGTGTAAGCCTCACTGCATCCTAACCTGACAATCATCCCAACGAGGCTGTGAGGGCTGGGGAGCAGGCATCTGTAGGCTCGTCCTGCCATTCCTCATCCTCGCTTTGCTCATCTTCCTTTCTCCATCCCTCCTCTCCAAATCAAGGGTGTCCATGAAGAGGAAACGAAGTCACAAAACAACTGAGAGGTGTGTGTGGAAAGGAGGGAAGGAAGGGCCACCATGCTCCTTGGCCTCCCTGATGGTGGGAGGCACTTGTGGGCTGATTGTGTTCCAGCCATGGGGGCTTTTGTTTAAAGATAAGATAAAAGAGCTGACAGAGACAACTCCTTCTTCCCCTCCTACTGCCTCCATGAGCACTTCCCATATGGCGGCTGCTGCTGAGACCAAGGAATGAGTGAGTAAAGGTTTTAGAGTGAAGTGTGAGTCCTAAGTAAGAAAGAGCTCTTACGAATCAGTGTCGAGACGATGACAGTCGGCTTCCCTACTAACTGAACATTCATAGCATTTGAAAGTAGCTCAAGCCGCTTTGCATCATGGAAAAAAAGACTGAGGTATACCAGTGGTTGTTATAAAAGAATGAGGTATACCAGTGGTGGTTATAAAAGAATGATGTATACCAGTGGTGGTT